ATATATATATATATATATATATATATATATTAAATTCATTACACGTTTATATAATTAAAAAAGAATTCCACATTTTCTCAAAATTTTGAAATACTCATGGTGACATCTTTCTGGATGTTATGGAAAACAACATGAAATTCTCATTGCATTACTACAACAGTTTAAAGTGAGAGTTTGAACTAACTATATATTCGTACAGCGTGCCCATACGAGCACGCCAGGAAGATAAGATTGCTTCCTTTTGTCAAGTCTCATTACGCCGCAATCTGTCGGCGCCTTTTATCCTTTCGCCCGGTGGCCCGGATCCGTAGGACCGGGTTTCCCAGACGATCACCCGTCCAAGAATTCGTGGTGCCTCAAATTGCTTAAAATACATGACTTTACCGAGTGCAGTTAAGCGATAAGACTAACGACGACCGGCTTGTAAGAGTAGTGGCTGTCAAGTATTTTCGCAAGGAGATAATGTACTGTTCAGCCAATGTTAAATTTGTGGTTTCAGATGTACCTTTTCTAGAAAGTAGTAAATTATGAAATTTTGATATTTCAATATAGTGTATTTTTTAAATTTTACTTTTGGGTTTGCTTTTTTTCAGCAATTTATACTAATGTTTTTATAATTTTTTTCTATTATTAAGGAATGCATTATGCCATTTATTTTTGAATAGGAATAGCCCCGCTTGAGGTGACTCAATGGCAGCATAAACGGTGAATCTGCAGCCACTTTGACTGGGAGATCCTGGAGTTCAAATCACGTCGGTGGCAGATTTTCTATGCTAACTGCATAGATATCTCGAATCCTACCATTGCTTGGGGAATCGTAGCGATCTGTTCTTCTAATCGGTAGTTTTTCTTGGTTTCTGTTCTTAGTACCTGGTAAACGCTAGAGTTGTACCCTATCAAACGGATCATAGAATGCGCGCGATCTTTCCTTCCTCTCCCCTTACTTACGTGGACTTCACTTAAATGCACTACACTACCACTCATGTCAGGAGTTAAGAACTTGTCCAGGCCGGAGGCGGTACCCGCTGGGGGAGATACCTGGAGGCCGACGTCGGATATCTCGTTCTACCGTCTCCAAATAAAATCGAACATGCACTCTATTCACGTGAGACTGCGGCGAAAAATCACTCATATTGGGAATAGGGCAGTAGAACATAGCTTGAAATATGTTCGAGATTCGAAAATAGAATTTTCGCTGTGTTTTCGTGGCTCAAAATATTTAATCGTATTATAAGCATAATAAATATACGCACGTATTTCAAAGAATTTTATAAAGTTACATTTATTTATTTTATTTTTATGGATAATAGATCTGAACCTTTTTAGAGAACAACATAAAACAGGTTTTCCTCATGATAGATTAAATATGAACCAAATCTAAAAATGTAGTATTACATTTCATAATTAACGATATCAATCAACCAAATCTGTAGGTCTAACATGCAATTCATTATTAGAACATTCGTCTTTAGATCCTAACATGTCTATTCGCCGTGATCAAGCCTAAAAATTCCCTGTTCACTAAGTGCGGAAGCTTTTCCCAGTAGATAACACTGGCCTACAGGTGTTTTGCTACGCGAGAAAATCAAGTGTATTAACCCTAAATCAAGTGTGCTGATTTCTGACTTTAAATACTTTTTTTTCTAAAATGTCACAATTTTAAGATAACATTTTTAACAATTTATTTGCAATATCGAATGATAAGATCAAACATTAAAGTAATTGCCTTTTCGATGATTTTGTTAGTCAATTGTTTTAACTGTTACTTCTTGAGGACTCCTTCTTCCCATTATTCTTTCACTGTAGCGTGTATTTCTATAAGACTTTAAGAAACAAAGCAAGATGTTATATGTTACTTGTAATAGTGCATTGTATGTATATAGTAAATTAACTAATTTATGTATTATTCTAAACGATTTAATGAACATACATGCAAAGATACAATTGACTTCAAATGAAATTTGAAGTTGATCTCGTTGATTTTTTTGGGGGAAAACAATGTGAAGCACAAGATCCTAGTTGTCCCGCAGAATATTTTTCTTTCAGACCAGCATATTAAACGTGGAGTCATGAAAACCCTTCTAAATGTATTGACTCATGATGGAATAGGTTTTAGATATCTAAGAGAGAAGTATGGGAGAATGAAAAGTAATGCAAAATTAAAGGCAGGAATGTTTTTTTGGAGGGGGGAGCAGAAATATGACAGTTGAAAAGGCACAACATAAAGAACAAACCTCAGTCCTTTAGAATTTAGAAGCTTGAACACATTTGTAATTGTGACAACCAATGTTTTGGAAAATTATCGAGCAGATAATTATGCAGAACTAGTACATGACATTATTAGAGCATATCAGAATCTAGGTTGTCCCATGTCTTTAAAATTCCTTTTTCTGCATTGCCATCTTAAAAATTTCCTCTTTGGGATTGGTGAGCATACTGAGAAGTTCCACCAGGATATATCAGCATTGGAATCCAGAAACCAAGAACAGGAAAATGCTAGCAAGATAGACGATTTCTGCTGGTTTCAGCAGAAATCAATATAAACGAAAAAAGCAAATGTCTCAGGCACTTTTAAGAGTTTTAAATTCTTATTAGATATTGTACATAAATGTATACCATTTTTAAAGGTTTTTTTGACTCAATCTACTTGTATAGTAAAATGAAGAAAAATCAGACTTCTTTTCACAATGCTATAATTATTTTAAAAAGGTGATCAGACAAAAAGTTCTTTTTTTTGGTAGACGAGTGTAATCGGTCAGAAGCTGAAATCTTTTTAAAATATAAATACTAAATTATCTCGGCTGCACCCTGAATAAAGGAAGAAGAGACAATTAATGCGCTTTGACTGCAACATTAATTGTATACCGGCCACCGCTGTTGCAATATACTCGTAAATACAATTATCTGCGTATAAAATGATTTTGAGTGAAAGATGACCTTGCCCTTTTTTCGCATTTAGACGTGTTTCTTTTAGCACTCTATTCCATACTCGTGTTTTTAACGAAACAGTTTAAAGTAAAAGGAATATAAATAAATGAGTATTTTCATTTCAATTTATATTACATACGTATTTAAGAAATTATACCACTATTTTCACCTTCTAAAAGCATATTTCAAGTACCTAAAATGGAAGATAGTGGATCCAAAAGTACCCTACATCTACTCGTAATTTATTTACAAACGGAATAAGACCATACAAAAAGAATATAGAAAAATAATAAATAAAAATCGATAAAATGAGTATCACAAGAGTAATAAAGTAATAGATATATAAAAATTACAGTAATAAAAAAACCTTATGTAAAGGGTAGTAAAGAAGAACTATAAATTTATTTTAAAATTAAGTT